GGCTACTGGGCTGCCAGAGGGATGTCTGATTGCTAGCTGGGCCGATCCCCCAGGGAGCGGGCCTAAGCCAGCAGGTGGACATCCTCGAGGGGCCCCAGACTGCAAGAGGGCACAGGCAGGGCTGAGGGGACCGCCCCCCCCGAGTGCACAAATTTTTGTGCACCGGGCCTCTAGTTAAAACATAGTAAACAAATTAAAGTTCTTAAAAGTAAAAACTCAACAAAGACTTAATTACTTTGTGCTTCTTGTTCAATCTATTGCCTTCATTATGAAGGGCCTGAACTCGTAATATATTTTTTCAAAATAGCATAATTTACAAAGCAAGTTGTTCAATCCTTATTTCTGAGGGGCAATACTGACTCAAATATCAATCAAACTGAGAATAGCCTGTCCAGAAGAGTTAAAATTTAATAATGATTACCTTATTAAAAGTTTCATATTAGTTTTCGACTTTAGAAGATGGAAATAAAAGATGTAGGAAGAGCAAAGTATGTATGTCAAGACTGTCTGATTTTTTTTTTGACCAAAATTCCTTAGAAAGTATTTTCTAAAATATGAGAAAAACTCTATTCATCTTCTTCCATATCAATACTGTCTTTGGTTTAACACCTAATTATAATTTTGACATCACTAATATTAGAAGAAATTGCAGCTGAGTCATTTGGTGAAGGAAATACAGGCAGGACAAAGGAGATTAAATGAGCACTTCAGACTGAGACAGGCCTGGGCTCAGATCTCAGCTCTGCCTCCCACTGATTTAATGGGGGCTTGGGAAAGTTCCTCCAAGCAACACTTAGGGCCTATTGTGAAGATTAAAGGAGGTAATCTAGGGAAACCTCCCAGCACACTGCCAGCTCTTTTCCCTTCCATCCTCCATACACAGGGCTTGAGGTATTCATAATCACGTACATCATTTATTCTCTTCATGTTCACATTCACTTCAACAGTCAACCAACCGTCACTGTGGAGTGACTATGGGCACCAACCACAGTTCATGGTACTTTCCTGCCGGCAACTCAGTATGATTCAGAAGTATGAAAAATATTCCTTAAGCTTTTGCCTTAAAGTATATGACTATATTAAAGACATTTATTTTAATCAGAACTACCTCATTTCTTTGCTTTTTTTGAAAGCAAGGAAAAAACACTCTCCCTGGCATCAAGGGTCATGGTATTACCTGTCTACTTTATGGTCACAGCTGTGTGACCTGAGGCACAAAGAGATAAGATGATTTGTCTACCTTTCCTTACTGTAAAATGTAAACAAAAAGACTTACATGGATCCTTCTACGTTTTAAAAGTCTACGATGCTAAGATTTACCTGGTTGGAAGTGAAGCCAGGTCTTATTTCTGGTCTTATATAATCAAGATCAGGAAGCAAGTGAACAAAGTCTAAATTACTTACCTGAAAGGTAAGCAATAGTTCAAATGACTTTAAGTACAGAAAACAGAAATCTCTGTAAAATATATATAACTATATATTGGAGTTAAATTATGTTGCCTCAAAAGATCTGTTCATTCCTAATTCCCAGTACCTGTGAATATAACCTTGTTTGGAAACACAGTCTTTACAGATGTAGTTAAGTTGAGGTCCTACAAGATTAGGATCAGCCCTAATCCAATGACTGGTGTCCTCATAAAAAGAGAAAAATCTGACACAGACACAGAGGGGAGATAGCTATGCGATGACAGAGACAAAGACTGGAATTATGCTTCTACAAGCCGAGAAAAGCCCAGGAATGCTGGTATTCAAGCGGGATACAATAAGAAACGTCTAAGTCCCTATTCACAAAGAACCTAAAATCTAGAAAACAATCATGTAGGTAACTACATGAAAATAAGAGGGCAAGGCAGAATATAGAGAGGAAGAGAAAGAACAGAGAAAAATTCCTGGAAGAAGCAATATTTGATGAAGGATGATAAGGATTAAACATGTGATGAGGAATAGGGAACAGAGTCCTTGTAGATTAAGGCATGACACAAACACAAAAAGTGAAATGGAACAATGTCAAAGTCTTGGGTAGTTGGAACATGTCTAGCAGCAAAAGGATTACATAGGAAAGACAGTTTAGGATTACTTGTGAAGGACCCTGAATGCTATGCCAAGGAATATACCATGTTTGTCCCATAAGCAGTAGTGTGTCATTCTAACCTTCTGAGAAAGGGAAGGGCATGATCTCACCTATGTTTTAGGAGAGAACTAAAGCTGTTTGAAAAAACACATTTTCAGGGCAAATG